AAATTAAGGTTGTTTTGGATGACTTAGATTTTTGTGAAATAAAATAGGGTTGATATTTTGGATAATTTTAAGAATTTTGTAGCAGATCTATAGGTGCAATTTTGTACTTTGGTGAGAATAATTGTGCTTAATATGTATTATAAATTTGAGGCCAATCAAATAGTTAGATTAATGTATGTAAAATTTTTTATGGATTGAGGTCTCAAAAATTGAGATTTGAAGGTCAATGAATATTTTAAAGATCTTTAGCAATCTATCAATTGGATTGAAGTGATATTTTTTTGTATAGAGACAAGACTTGATTTTGAAAAAATTAATAGAGTTTTAAAAAAATTATAATAGTTCAAAAAGAGATATTGGTATTGGAAGTTCAATATTTAAATTAGAATAGGAAGCTAGCCAATACTTGAGCAGATTTTAGAATTTTTCTTCTATTTGGTAAATGAGATTATCTTCAAATTTATTGTGTTGATTTTAAACTAAGAGATCAAAAGCTATGTAAATTTTTAAATAAGATCAATAATTTAATCAATAAATATTGGAATTTTAATTTGTCTTTGGATTGATTTGAGTTTGTTTAGGATTTAGGGTTTATCTAGGATTTGTTTTAAGATTTAGGATTTAGGATTTGGTTTAGGATTCAAGATTTACCTATGGTTTGATTTATAATTTAGGGCTTAAGATTTGTATAGGGTTTGGTTTAGGATTTATGATTTATTTAGGACTTAGGATTTAGGATTTGTCTAGGATTTGGTTTAAGATTTAGGATATATTTAGGATTTAGGATTTTTCTAAGATTTGATTTAGGATTTAGGATTTAGAATTTAGTTAAGATTTAGTTAGGATTTTATCTAAGATTTAATTAAGGTCTATTAGAATTTCAATTAAGATTAAAATAAGATTTGATTAAAATTTATTTAAGATTTATTTAAGATTTATTTAATATTTCTTTAGAATTTCTTCATGTTTCTTCTGTAATTTCTTTAAGATTGCTTTTGGATTTGATTAAATCTTGATTAGCATTATTAAGGTTTAATTAGAGTTTATTTAGGATTCTATTAGAATTGTTAGGATCTTATTGTTATAAAATCTCTTCTATCTTCCATAACCAAGTATTTGCTACATTCTCAAGTAAAACTTCATGTAATATGACAACATCAAAATAGGTTGAAATATCTTATTTATTGGCATGGATATGATATTAATGAATGTACATAGAAGCCAATAAAGAATCTTATAAATGCACCAAAGAGATTGAGTCTTTTCATCAATGATATCTATCAAAATCAATATAAAGAATAGTAAATATTTACTTTAAAAGAAATAAGATTCAAAAAAAGATAGCATTCTATCTTTTATCCTTGTTTATAGCTTCTGTATATTTGTGACATTAAGGTGATGGAAACCAACAATCAATAGATTCAACTCAAGCCCTTTTATTTGTTGACTTATCAGACAAGATATTGTGATTGTCACAATCTTGAAGATAATGTAAATGAGATGAAGATCCTCAAGAATGACTTGTCTTTCTTCAAATAGATGAAAAAATATAATTTATTTTATATCACAACCTTGGAAGAGACTTTCAAAGTTTGGTGATTTTATTAGAGGTAGAAATACCTCCTAATAGTATTACAAATGTTTTATTTGAATGAATTTATAAAGGCCCTAACAATGATCAAATAATAAGGTGGTCTCTCCACATTAGTATGGAACATTATCAATGGTTAAAAGGACCTATCAACCATCTTCAAAGAGAACAAAGTTCATAGTATGTGGCAAATATAATTTTCTGCATCTTGGATTTTTTTAACATATGATGACCACTCCTTGTGGAACTCATCTCTATTGGGAGGAATAATATTACAGACATACATATTTATCCTAATTTTTACCTATATGATTAAATAAAAGTAGATAAAAGTAGATTTATTTCATAGTATTTTCTAAAAAAACTTTGTAGAAGATTTATAGACATTGCTTGATTTTATATATATTTATAATTGATTAATAGGTTAGAAACTTAATCAACAAGTTAACTATATCTTAGTAGTTTGCGAAACAAGCTAACTATGTGGCGCACATATAGAAAACTTACCTTGCAAGTTAAGATATATATATATATATATATATATATATATATATATATATATATATATATTACAAAATCAACATGTTTTATAGGACCTATAGGAGATTGCCACATAGCTCCTAGTTAAGAGTATATATAGAGGCAAGAATGAAGCATTATTCACTCTTCTTACTACCTTTCTAGTCTTTAGTCTTGTTTCAAGACTTTTGTAGTCTTCTTGTCTTTAGCAATAGTCATTCTAGTTTAATACCATATCATCTTTGAGTGACTTTCTAGTTCTTTTGAGAGACACAAGAATGTATTAAGGATTTCTTTCTTCAAGATAATATCCTTAATACTTATTTTTTTTATTATATTGTTATATTTTATTTTTTCAATGTTTTATATTTTTACTAGGTTTTTAGAAATTTTAGCATAATAGAAATAATGAGACAAAAATTGATAATATAAATAATGTATTGGTTTTTTTATTTGATAATATAATATATTAATAATATAAATATTAATAGAATAAAAAAACTATAAATTTAAAATCTATTATAAATTATTTTAAAATTTAAATATGAGATATTACATAATTAATTAGAATAAATATTTTTTCATTTGGTAGAATTTTTTTTATTGGAATTATAAACTGAGATATTAAAAAATTATATTTATATAGATATATAATATATTTAAATAAGATTATGAATATCACCATATCAACTTGAACAAAACAAAAGGTAGATTACATGATATGAAAATATCATTTAAAATTGTATAAAATACAAAATAAATATTTTTACTAGAGCTCTATAAAGTAAAAAATAAATAACTACAATAGATTCTTAGGCAATTTATCAATCGACCAAAATTTGAAATTGTATCAAAACAATTTGAAGCTTTATAATACATATAATTTATAGTAGGAGCTATAAATGAATAACATAATTTAATATTTGTTACATTAATTGGCAAAAATTATTATTATTGTTGTAATCATTTTATTTAGTGTTATTATATGTTGTTGTAAATGTAAATTGTTCTTTTTTTGGTTCATAAATTTGACTAGGTAAGTAGTTTTTACAATTACACTATATTTTATTAAATGAGAATAAAGTGAGATTGTATAAAGAAAAGTATTTTTTGTACACAATGAGTAAAGATTCTACAAATATATAATTGACTTTGTATACACAACTTATTTAAAGAGTTAAAATTATTAAATTCTATTATAAAATTATTATAAAATTTGAAATTTCATCATTCAAATCAACGACCATCTTTTTATTGTAAATTTAAGAGAATGGCCCTTAAAACTTCCTATGTTAAACTAAATTTGGTCCAACAAGTGATTTTTTTTTATAGTAATTTAGTATTAATTTTCTTGTTTTTTTTTATAGAATCACATCAATCTTTTGAAAAAGACTATGAATTTTAAGTAAAAATCAAGTTTTTTTTAAATATCAGAAGTAAGCATTTTTTTTTCAAGTAAATTAATAATCGTTAAGAATTGAATAAACTTATGTATTTCACAAAATCAATCAATTAATCAAAAGCATATATGTCTACTGAGATTCTAATAAAATTTTCAAGAAAAATATTAGTGAGGTTGAAAAAATATATATATATATATATATATATATATATATATATCTCCAATTAAACTAAGATGAAAAAAATATTAATCTTTTTATTTCTTCTAATCAAAATTCTTTGGAGTTCTTAGACTTAGTTTTTCATATTTATCATTAAATATCCATAATAATTTATAAAAAAATTCAATATTATAATGATAATTTCATAGATAAATAGAAAAATATATGTATATATGTACATATGCCTCAACGTTTTGTAAAAAAATTAAATATTACTTCATTTTACATAGTGATTATAGCTTTTTCATGTATGTATGTATGTATGTATGTTTGTAGTAAAATATTAGAAACCAATCTTAAATTTAATAGTTCACATGAACACATTCATTTTAAAATTGCATCTAATGACATTTCTAGGTGTATGATGTTCTAAGAAATTTTAAAACTATGTAATTTCTTATCTCTTTTTTGTTATTTATTTATTTTATTGTGTTTGTGCAGGTTGTGGTGTATATGATTTAATTATGATATCAAAATCTCATCATTAACTTAAAGATCACAATTTTTATGAATCCAAAATGTTTCAGTTGCATATTATTGTGTCACCCTTCACGACCATTGTATATGTTATTACTTATTCAATTAATATATTTTGATAATTTAAGAAAAATACTTAAACTTTCCATTGGATGGATGGATGAATATATATATATATATATATATATATGTGTGTGTGTGCATTTTAAAATATTTAAGAATTCTCATCTTTATGATATATTTCAGAAATTTTTGGTGTAGACATAATCTCATTTTATAATTCAAAGAAAAGAAACATTAAGTTTGCTTTCTCTGTTTTTTTATATAAATTATATATGTTTTAATATCAGTATAATATTTAGTATTTATTTTTTGAATGTTTGGATGTGAACACGCCAGATTGTACATGTACTCTATAACATTTATTGTGTTCCTCTTTTATAAAACCAAGAATAAGTCACAAGTTAAAATAATTCCTTGGAAATTGGTTCCCAAGACTTTTGACTTGGATGAGGCAAAGGGAAGTGAGCGAATGGGAGTGGGTTTAGGCACACCAACCAACCTCACATCAAAGCGCAGTCACGTCTGCCAACCCCTCGGGCACGGGTGCGCGTGGAAGGCGTCGGAAGTAGGGCCCACAGGGGGCTACAGTTTTACCATGGAATTCTCCGCCCGCGTTGTAAATCCCTGATCCCATCGTCCACCCGGCCAGAAGGGATGTGCTGGGTTGAGAGAGCTATCTCTAATAAACGACTGACCCGCTTGCTGACACAGCTCGTCCGCTCAACTCCCCCGGCCCGGCTAGGTCATGCTCACCCTCCCCCTTCTCCCGCCCGCCCGCTCTGCTTGCTGCTTCTTTCTACTGCCCCTTCCCCTCCTTCCTCGCTGGTCTGTCTTTGGTGTTGTCCTTCCTGGCGGAGCTAATCGTTGCTGCTCCCGGTGGTGCTCGTGTAAGCGGAGCGTCTAGAGCATTAGTGCGTGTCGCTTCTCCCCCGTTTCTCCGGCCTTCAGGGACGAGAATGATTTCGTCTCGGGACATTCTACCGAGGTATGCTCGTTTGTGTCCAGAAGCTAAAGTGAGCGCAATTCGCACCTGCTATGTTTGATGTTTGATGTCGTGGATGCGCAATGCCAATGTAGCGCTGGTGCTGTCGCGGCAATGCGGTTGTGGAGACGGCGAATGTTTATTGCGTACTCGTCAATGTGTTATTTGTATTGGTTTTTTCGGTCTTGTTAACGGTGGCTCTTGGTTGCGCTCGTTGCTTATCGCCTATAATCTGTTGCAGAATATACTTCACACCTCCAGCAAGAATGTGCGTGTATTTTAACTGACAATTCTTTCGTAATTGATTTTCGCTGGTCCTTGGTCGTGCCGCGTCTTTGCACTTGCCAGCGCCTTTGTGCTTGTCTGCTCGAGGTTCATAATGCTGTCTCATGTGCACGCCCTTCGCGGAGCTGGACTCTTTTTAGCTACTCCGCCTCTCAGTCTAAACTAATTGAAATGATGTTGTTTGAATTATTATTTGGTGTAAAGTGCATTAATCCACATCCCTGAGTTCTTTCTGAATTGCCCAGGGTTTAGTAGCAGAAGGGCTTCGACATCTTGTCTCGAACTTTTTTCGTATTAAAGTTTGAGATCTATCCTTATCTGTTGAGTAACATCTCAACAATACTGTCACAATCGTTTCATTCTGTCGGACATCTCTTGTTCTACTCATCTTTTTCATCGAATCTTTTTACTCATGGTCTACAATATTCGCCAGCTGCTAGACCTATGGCTATCTATCGCAGGGTTTTTGGAAACGAAAATTTTACAACTCGTGCTATTTCGATGACAAATCGCGCTTCTCTTATGTGAAGCTAGCACTTTGCATAACCCCTCCATGCAGATATCGCATACTGTTCCGGAACCTAGTGCATGACTAGCCGGTTCTTGGTGCTTCACTTGGGTTTGCTTTCCTGATGGTGTTGTAATTTCTGAATATTGCTGTAATGGAATCCAACTTGGTGTGCCATGGATTTTTGTCCATAGTGGAAGTGGCTCCTCAATGGTGTTGGAGGTTTTGGCAAGTTTCCTCGTTAATCTCGTATTGATCCTTGTCTATATAAATCTCGTTATATTCTTCTACTTCACTTTTGCTTCGGCACTCCCTACCTTCTTTTTCTGCCAAAGAAATTAGTGCGTCATTACACTCTATGTTCACTTCTCTAACAGAGGCTGTCGCGGCGAATTATAAATCCAGTGATTGTGTAGCTCATTATTCCTGCTCTCTTATCTTTCTCCTATTTTTTTGCTTAAAACCTCTCTGGAAGATTCTTAGCCAGACCTCGAATTTTAGTGTCTGTTGAGACTAAAGACTATGTTCTCACAAACTTTGATGTCAGGATTTTAGGATTAGAGTTTTTACACAATGGGCGACGCTTTTGTAAGGACGTGAGGTTTGTGTTTCTTTGTCTCTGTCGCGGTTTCTTCGATGTCATTCATTACATCCAGCAGTGGCAGAAGCTGTGTACTTCTGAGAATGACGCTGAAGTTTTCCAATTGTTAATTATCACTTTCATATTCTCTCGCGTCTACTGCCACAGTAGTACAAGACTTTTATGCCGATTCTTCATCCTTCCAGTTAATAGTGGTTACGTGTTTTTGGTGCCTGACCGTGCTGCCCCATTCTCAATAGGAAATTCCTGATAGTTTCTTTGCTGAAGATTATGTTTCATTTGTCGAATCCATTATTTCTGCATTGTTGAATCTTAGTATTGTTTCTTTCTAATCAGGTTGATTCCAATGTATTGTGTGCAGAAATTGATTTCTTCTGGAGAATTGTACGGGAACCATGACGATAAGTGCTACTTCGCCTCTTTGTACATGGCTTTTTGCAGCTTACGTGTCCAGTGCTGTTGCCGGGTTTGCGGATGATGTTTCCGTAAGCTCTGGGCCCTCAGGAAGACCCTCAGGCAGGAGGCTTCGAAGAAGGAATGCCAGCTCAAAGCGTTTAGCAGGAGCGAGCTGGACTGTTAATACCGACGTTCAATCTCGTTCTTTTTCTAATGTGTGCATGGGAGCACCTTGTGGATCTGGTATATCCGGTCTTGGTTCATATCTTGCCTCTGAAAATAGTTTCGAAGATGACAGCATAAGAAGTGAGCCTTTGTCTGGAGACGTTTCTTTTTTTGGAGCGGGATTGTCAGTTTTGAAGACAAGACCAATGCAGTCTGTGAGGAGGCCTTTGAATGCTATTTCAGGTGAACGTTTCTCTTCGGGAGTGCTGTATTGTTTTTATCCTAAGTTTAAGGAGGTTTACTTTAAAGGTTGATGCGTTAGTTTCCTATGAATAGATCCTTAGTAGTAATGAAACGGATTTCTCAGCATAGTTGCCTATACTACACTGTTGTGGGCATCTTTTGTTACACATCGAGAAGTGAAGTTCAATGGGAGAGACATTTCAAATGTAATATATCTGACTGAGATCCACCTAACTCAACGTTAGGTAGTAGATAAGTTTTGGGCAATTACTCAATTCATTGTCTAAAGCCCCACTTCATGTTACACAGGGAATGCCTCAAGTATTGCAACATCGCCTGTTCAACCAATCAAAGAATCCTTTGAACCAAAGAAAACATCTACAAAGCCTAGGAGGGTGGTTGTCACAGGGATGGGTGTTGTGTCCTGTCTTGGTCACGATGCCGACAGTTTTTATGCGAACCTCTTGGAAGGAAAGAGCGGCGTTTCTGAGATAGAAAATTTCGACTGCAAGCAATTTTCCACAGTAATTTTTTCAACACCTTTCGTTCTTTGGTTGGATTTTAATCACCAACATTTTCTTTGAATCCCTCATCTCATTGTTTGGAGGTAACCTGCTTGCTTAAGCTCGCAGAGCCTCGAGGGCTTCTGATAATAAAATAATGTGTTTTTAATTCTTTAGTGAGGCAACGGTCCGCGTGCGGAATTCTGTTACCCTTCCGGTAGCCAAAGTAATTTGACTTCGATGTGTCGGATCATTTTCTTTTCAGTCTGTGACCTTGGTCTTTCATTGTGTTTATTGCCTCGTAGCTTGAGGAAATCAGTCTGTGATATGCTCCAATGACAATTACAAGGTTTACTGTTAGCATGTAGTTTGAGTTCGAAGAATGTAGACTTATTCTCGCAGTTCATGAACATTTCTCCAGCTACAGCAGTAGTTGCAGTAGCATTCTAGTCATTGCTTCAATCTCTTACCGCATCATTGTTTGTCAGAGGATAGCAGGTGAAATCAAATCGTTTTCAGCAGATGGCTGGGTTGCCGGAAAGTTTATAAAACGGATGGATAAATTCATGCTTTATCTCCTCACTGCCGGGAAGAAAGCTGTGTTCGATGCTGGACTTACAGAAGATGTAATCAAGAGTATAGATAAATCAAGATGTGGTGTGCTTATTGGTTCAGCCATGGGAGGCATGCAGGTACTCTCAAAAGACTTGCAATCAAGTTACCTTTCTACATCCCTTGCAATTGGGTGACCGTGCAAATTAGTACTGAATTCTTGTCTCTAGCATGCCCCTTCATATTGTTAGACGAAGTGCTTGGTTTTTGGTTTCGAAACTGGTGTACTGCTTTTAAGGACCTTCTGTAGCTTTGATCGGAGGCCTCTCCTTGAATCAGAGCGTAGTTTGTCATGAAAGTTGCTGCTCAAAGAGTTGCAGGCATCACATGGGTTGCCATGGCAGGTAGTTCCATTGAGCCTGTGAGCTCTTTGTGATCATAACATCAGCAATTGTGGAAGCAGATTTTTAATGACGCTATCGAGGCTTTAAGGTTATCATATCGCAAGATGAACCCATTTTGTGTACCGCTTGCATCAACGAACATGGGCTCTGCCATGCTGGCCATGGATTTGGTGAGTGAAGTTCTATTTCCTCGTTACTGAAATTTTACTATACGTGTCTAGTCTAAATGGTTGGTACTTGCTTCGTTACGTAGAGTCCGCTCCACCACTTGCTCGGCGACCTTATGGATACTTAGAGCCTGATTAACTATTATCACTCTCCAGTGTAAGCTTTTTTTATGACCATTTAAGCAAGATGGTACTTGTTGCAGGGATGGATGGGGCCCAACTACTCTATTTCTACTGCTTGTGCGACAAGCAATTTTTGTATATTAAATGCTGCCAATCATATCATCAGGGGTGAAGCTGTGAGTTTCATCCTGACGACGAGTCTTGTCTGTGCGCTGAAGTATTCTGTTGTGAATGACGTATACCTGCTTAGTGACCGCAAATCGCTACGCTCCTGTTTAACTGCACTGTAATCTAGAGAATTAAGTTCCCAGCCTATTAATCTTAGTGGTATTGATTAAAATATATAATTACGAATTTTATTAGATTTTGAAGTCACCTGCATAAATTCAGCTGAATATTTTAGCAGTTATGTTCGTTACCTCGATTTCTATTAACCTTCACTTAGCTCTTTCTAAGTGCAAGTTGTGTCATTTTAATTTGCAGGATATCATGTTAGCAGGAGGGTCGGATGCTGCAGTTCTTCCTATTGGTGAGAAATGTGATACCGTGAATTTTGTTTTCCGTCGTCAATTGTTGTCTTTTTTTTATTATTATTTTATATTGGGAATGTTACAATATACTTCTTTGTAAATCTATTTTAGTGGCGCGACAAGTGTTTTCGCCTCCCATTTTTTTCGGAAGAAAACATATCATGTTTATTGTCTGGGTACTGTACCTGAGGATTATAAATGTGGATAGGTCTCGGAGGTTTCGTTGCTTGTAGGGCACTTTCCCAGCGTAACGATGATCCGGCTAGAGCTTCACGTCCCTGGGACAAGGTACTTGGTGGTCCAAGTTTCTAATATATATCATTGAAGGGTTGTTGTATTCTAATCACGATGTTGTATTTTTTTATTTTATTGATTTTATTTTTATTTTTATCAATCTCTCTTTTTTGAAAAAAATGCATCGACCATTCAATACAGGAACGTATTTGTTAGCATTTCACCTGAGACGTAAAAGCATGGCGGGATAAATGTCTTGTACTGCGTTTTTGATGTGCCCATGCAACTCTGATGCATCGTGTGGAGGTTGGGATGGAGACATTGTTTATATGCTGATTTTCTTTTGAGAATGTGAAGGATCGAGATGGCTTTGTCATGGGAGAGGGAGCAGGTGTGCTTTTGCTGGAAGAGCTGGAACATGCTAAGGTAGAAAGAACTTCTCCAATGCTGGGTCTACATTACTGTATGTGAAAGTCGTGAAGAAACATAGACGCTGTAACTTGCTGCGTTGCCTTGTTTATAGGCACGTGGAGCTGAAATTTATGCCGAATTTCTTGGAGGGAGCTTCTCATGTGACGCTTACCATACAACTGAACCTCATCCTGAAGGTAAGCTGCAAAAGATTACCATTTTATTTTGACAACTAATGACGAATAATGTAAAGAATATGCGTGGTATAGGCAACATGCCATTATTTTATGTGTGGTATTCTGAAAAACAATCATGCACTGCTATATGCTGGTTCTAACTCGGACCCTGTGTGAGACCGTAGAAGGCCTAATTTAGAATTAAGAGAGTTTAATCCTTTTGAAGAACAATATTATGTTACGAAGACAGTTAGCTGCCATATGCGAGGGATTTACAGTTCTTTGCACTGAAGGCTAGGGGGATGTGGGTGCAGGTGCTGGTGTGCTACTGTGTATAGATAGGGCTCTTTCACAAGCGGGAGTCAATAGGCACGATGTCAATTATGTCAACGCTCATGCGACCTCAACTAAAGCTGGTGACCTTCAGGAATACAAGGCTCTCATGCGTTCTTTTGGACAGAATCCAGAGGTGAGACTCTGAAAACTCAGTGCAGTAATTGCTATGATCATGTTGAAAGGCTTGTCGAGTTAAGGCTACCTTAGTGAACTTGTTACGGGTGGTGAGATATGTGAAGTGAATTCTCTGTGGAGTGAGTTCGTTTTTTTTCGTATACAAGAAAGAGAACATTAAATATGGGTAGATCCTTCATACCTTAATGTAACGTTATTCTTTATATCGAAAATAGCTCAGTTTCGATCTGCAATGTACCACACATTCATTTTTTTATTGATCAGAAGGTGAATGTTTTAGGGCGAATTTGCTCACTTCGTTCTCAAAATCATTTATTGTTCTTTTTTAAAATTTTTCAGCTGAGAATTAATTCCACAAAGTCAATGATTGGACATTTGCTTGGAGCTTCTGGCGCAGTTGAGGCTATCGCTACTGTTCAGGTTCACAATCAAGCAATATAACAGAACCTATCAATGTTATTCTAAGTTTTTACTACTTGATGTGTTATTCTACAGTGAGTAAGCAATATTGTGTTCATGAGTTTCTCTTGTTGAAAATTACTCCTGCAAATGTGCTTCCCAATTTTCATTTGTACATTTTTCAATGTCTTCCTCGTGCAGGCCATAAGAACTGGTTGGGTCCACCCGACTATCAATCTTGATAATCCTGAGAATGATGTTGTAAGTCCTGGTCTACTAGCACTTCTCCTAAATTTACCAGTCTAATTTTAGCTTTAAATTTGAAATCTATTGATTTACAGCCTTCGTTCAAATGTTGTTCTAAAATGGTCTGATTTGCATATTCTATCGTCTACTAACATTAATATGTTTCCGCTTATTTATAAACTTTGAGTGCTTTGACTACGCAGGATATGAAGGTCATTGTAGGAGGAGAGAAACGGAAATTGGACATTAAGGTGGCTCTGTCCAACTCTTTCGGTTTTGGGGGTCAAAATTCTTCCATCCTTTTTGCCCCATATAATGAGAGCAATGAAGACTAGACTGCGCAGACGAGTCAGCCCCCCTCTATAGTTTCATTAATACGAATGTCATATTTTGTAGTTTGTAAGATTTGAAAGGCTTCGATCTGTGTTCCAAATTTGTTGCTGGGCTATACCTGGCTTTTTCCAGAGGTGACCAACACTGCTGTTACTCCTCGGTTCAGCATTGTTTCTGTTAACATGTACTAGATTTCTGCGGAAATGTAGATTATCACACAGAAATTCCTGATAATGTTGGAATGTGTTGTTATTTTCTACAAAGTTTGGAGTAACCCACCCATATTCCTGAAGATTTCGCCTATTTGTATCGTCGCAATCCACGCCTGAAAGGTTACTATCTGAATGCAATGCAAGGCAGAGGGTTGATTTTTGCAGTGAAAGTTTTTGTCACTGATGAAGAATCCATTCCGTCACATGAGACATTGTGTAGCCGCTTTGGTTATGGCAGCAGGCAAAGAGTCGCCACCTGCATCCTAATCCATTAACTTTAATAATTGTTTTTACTCTTTAAACCTTGATCTCCAGTCCCTGTACCCTAGCCAAGAACATAATATGTCAAATGAACGTAAATATATTCTAATTCTTTCCTTAGACCTTGGTCGTTGGTGGGCTGCCCAAGCTCTGAGTGAAGGGACTCCTCGCCTGCTGTTCCCGCAGAAGAACATCCCCTCCGACAGAATTGCAGAACGTATCACAGGGTGTCATTTGGCATTATCGAGCCAACAAAGAAAGATGAATGACATGGCAACTTTTTTTTGTTTAAATGGTAAACAGTCAGTAGACAACACTAATATATTTGGTTAATTTAAAATAATATTGTTATAAGAATATGCAGTGTGTAACAGCTAAGCCATTAATAAAACCGATTCGGCAAAACAATGATTACAATCTTGTTTAAGCTAGCGAGTTATCAATAAGTGATATAACAGCAACTTAAAATTTAATAACAGTGAATATTTATTATAAATTGCAAAAATCACAATTCATAACTCAAATTGTATAGATGTATTAATTAAAAAAATAATAAATTAGAGGTTTTGGTGAAGAAGTTTATTAGCCAAGTATTCAAGTCTCAAGACACTTACATAGTAGTTTCTTAGAAATACATAACTCCTAAGATGGCACATGTATCAATAATATTTGTTGTTTGTTGTATGTTGTTTATGTTTTAATATCAAAACACTAATTAGATTATTAAGAATATAATGAAAAATATAGTTTAAAAAATTATAATTTCTAAATGCATATATAATCTCTTATATAAAATACCTCATGGGAGATAAACCAACTAGATACACAAGAAGAGACAAAAACCATCTCTAATTGGCTAATTGGCTGCATATCTCATTGTTTTAATCAAAAGTGAGACAAAAGTGAAGCATTAATTGAACTTTTGATCAATTAGAGATCAAAATCTGCATGTTGTTGAGGCAAATTGCCGAGTGTAGCATTGCAAGATCACTAGGTATGGAGCTCAGTATTTCTCAACAAATAAATAAATTAACAAATGTTTGCCATTGGCCACTTCTCTTGTTGCCAACTACACAAGTTTCCACTAGTATAATATTAGCCAACTTCAAATAATATTAGCCAACTTCAAATGGCCTTGTTTCAAAAACCTTATGATGTTGACATGCTTTGTGAAAAAAATTTGTTATTTGAACCTTCCAAATGTTATTTTCAACTTGAACCTTCTAAAAAAAATACAACATAAAATTTATATTTATTGCAATTTAAAATTTTCCACATTATTTAACTTATCATATTCTCAAGAGAACAAATGTCTTGATATAAATTTACAGTATTTTATTATTATAATTATGTTTGATATAAATTTCTAGATACAAATTCACATCAAACAAAGTCCTTTAAAAATTCTTTTCTTCAGCAACAATACATCCATTTTCTTCACCGCATAGAATACACATCAACAAACCATGTCTCACAGTTCAAATGTGGTTTCCAACTCAGTCTCTACGCTATGGGTTTTTATTTCATCACCGACCATCGAATTACCGCGTACTGAACACTCGGCCTCTTCGACACCGTTTTTTGCGAAACAACCCCGTTGAAAAAAATGGAAACGCGACGAGTTCATCGAGTGGACTTCATCCGACAACGTCAAAGGTGACGATATTTGACGTTAACGCTGCTTGACAGCAAAAGGAATAGTAGCCCCAGTCGGGCAATATTCGCACACAGCGGCACTGAAGAATTTCCACAAAAAGCAAGTTTCGCCGCGATTTGTGTTTTTTTTTTTTTTTTTTTTTTTTTATATTTTGGAGAAACAACTGAGATGCTTCTCGGGTCTCTGCGAATCTCATGGGGTGGGAAAGTAAAAGACCACTGTGGGTCTCTTACCGACTATGTAACTGTGGTGTCTCCGACTGGCGTGTTTTGTATAGGCCGCGCGGCTCAGCGTTTCTGATTGTTATTTGTTTGCAGACGCCGTCTCGTCTGTACTCTGGAAACGTATTTTGGTGTGGTATGCCCTCTAGGAGCTTGCGGTTGTTTTTCTTAATTCGTTTCTTTTTTCTGTGTTTGAGAGGTGCCCAGATTCGGAGGCACGCTTTGGAGTTGGCAAGGGCACTGTGCGAAGGCGTCTTGGTGGTGAGAGATTCGGTGCTTGGTATAGTGAGTCGACGGTGGTGCGCTACGGTTTCCCCGGATCTGGAGCAGCTCCTTTGATCCCCATGAATATGTTTAGGTGAGTGCATCATCTTGTGTATTGTGACTTTTCGGTGGGAGAATGGAGAGTTTGAGGATGATGATTGTGTTGAGTTGGTCACCTTGGTGCTTCCGTGATGCGTAGGTTGAGGAATCTGTGGTTGTTTAGGGTGGATTTCCTGGAATTTCATCTTGGAATTCGGTATCTTGTAATTCATATGGTCTTTGTGCTTTATCGCCTTAAATTCTAGTGTGCTCTGTTTTTCGAGGAGCATAATTCGATTAGAAGGTTTGGTTGACGCTCTTTGATGTGATGGTGTGTCAATTTGCGTGGCCATTTACATTCATTACATTCCGATCCTCTTAAGAATACAACGATCTTGAATATTAGACAGTCCAGGTTTTCATTTCTTTCTCTGTTCGATTCCAGGAGGAGAGAGAAGATGAAGAAGGTGCAAAATGAACCTGAGTTCATCAGAGAAGAGACGCCGGAACGTATGGAAGGGCCTAGGTTGATAGTGGGGCTTGACTTCGGCACCACGTATTCGGGGTTTGCCTTTGCTCACATTCATGAAAAAGAGAAGATTTACACCTTCTACGATTATCCCAGAGCAGGATATGAAAAGCCGTACTGCAAAACACTGACGGGAATGTATTACAAACGGCAATCTGAGCCAGGGGGCAAGTGGCATTTGAAGTCATGGGGTCACCCTGCTAGAGCAGAGTATGAGAAAGATTTCACAGCAGTGATTAAACAACGCCAGAGGGGAGCGACGGATGATCCGTTCCAGCCCAGTTTGGGAAACCTCTTTACTAGATTCAAGCTACATCTTGGGAAAGAACGAGGGCCAGCATCACCAATTCCACTCCCACCGGGGCTGACTGTTCACACACTGATTACAGATTACTTGCGGGCGATGGGAGGATTGGTCCTGAAGACCCTACAGGACCATTATGGGACTCAGCTGGATATGAAGGGAATTCAGTGGTGCATTACTGTGCCATCTATTTGGGACAATTCTGCCAAGGCAATAATGAAAGATTGCATGAAATCTGCGGGTTTAGTAGGCGGGGAGCACGGGAGTCCTCATCAACTTATCATCGTCCTCGAGCCTGAGGCTGCTTCCTTCCATTGTCACAAGGTCATGAATGAGCAGGTATTATCAGTTGGCGACAAGCTGCTGGTTGCAGACATCGGTGGTGGAACCTCGGACCTTATTGTGCAGGAGGTGATTTCTGTCGGTGAGCGTGGTTACCGTGTGAAAGAGTTGACGATAAGCTCGGGAGGCTACTGTGGTGGTACTTACGTGGATGCTCGATTCACTAATTATTTGCATGCGAAAATTGGACCAGCTTTGCAGGAGTGCTTACAAGAATTTCCTGGTGTGCTCCCGACGTTGCTTAAAACCTGGGAACACACGAAGTCAATGTTCGGCGATCCGTCGTTTGCGGAAAGGACCAGCGACCTGAATCTCCCGGTTAAATTGGTGACCACGTGGGAGAGGTATGACTTAAGGAACAACATTCCCGCAAGAGGTGATGGATACGAGACGTTAGAGATCACGTACGAAGAGATGCAGTCGATTTTTGATCCTGTAGTAAACGAGAATTTGGAATTGATAGCTGCCCAATTGCAGCAAGTGGGATTTGTCAAGATTCTCGTCATAGTTGGAGGGTTTGCTGGGTCCCGATATCTCACAGACCGCATTAAGGAGAGGTTTGGCAGAATCGTGCCTCAAATCATCATTCCCCCCAACCCTGGGAGTGCGATTTGCCAAGGCGCCGTTGCACTGGCGCTTAACCCTGACACCGTAGATTCAAGAATCTGTAAGAAGACGTATGGAATTCACGCCATGGACTCTTTTCAGGAAGGAGTTGATCCGCCAGAATATATGGAGATATACGATGGAGTTCCGAAGTGCAAAAATCGATTCGAGGTCTATGTCAGCAAGGGCGATAGTGTTAAGGAAAATGAGCCTATCACAAGGAGTTTCAAGCCTGTTCGTTATGGACAAAAGGCTATTACTTTGGAACTTTACAGCTCTGACATGACTAATCCAAGATACATTGTTGGTGATTCAGCTTGTATGGAAGGTAGTATTACAATCGACATCTCGAAGGATATGAAATTGCAAACGGAAAGACTTTTGAACGTGTCCCTCTTCTTTGGGAAGTCGTGCTTGGATTTCATAGCTGAACATGTTAACTTCTCTGCTGGGAAGAATCATCGGCTTCGACTACCCATTAAAGAATCCGGTTTCTTCTGAGCTTAGGAACTGTTGTGATTAGTGAGTAGTCTTGTTCACCTTCCAGTGGTTGCCGAATGGCATGCAACTACTTGTCACAGCTAGTCGGAGCTTTGCTTGTGTTGTTGCAGGTTTTGTTTGCAAATTCCTCCCTGTAATATCCTATTACCTCAAAGTTCACTCCGTTGAAAGCATTCAGAGCCGAGTAGATGTGTTGCTTCACTTGAAGATTTTCTGCGTAGCATTCGTTTCTGTCACATGTGATGGAAAACACATTATTTTGCTGCTTGGACGCTGGAGTCAAGACCCACTGAAAGCAACATTTGACAACCAGAGAAGACACGATGGCATGTTGAAAGCTGATTATGTGTTGCTTGATCGGGTTTGGCAACTTGCTGGTGTTGCTCCCAAGGATGAAGCCACGTAACATCAGTGGAAAGGTTGGATAATCATGCGTGCATAGCGTGTTCTATTATTTGAGACGCACACGCTAGAACATCACGAAGGTGGGCGAGGAATGCACCTGCCTTGTGGCTATCCCGCTGATTTTAGCTCTTGTAATTACCATGAATTGCGGCAGTTTAGAACAGTTGGGGTTTTGTTTCAAATTGTTTAGTAGGATTGCTCATGGTAGCTTAGGTGTCCTGTCATGTGTGTTGCGCAACCCAGCGAAATTAATTCCCCACGAAGGAAGTTCAGATTCTCAAGCTGGAGCGTAGTGATACTAAACAGACATTTCATGTTTTGATGCCCCACTCTTCTAGAGTATGAAACTCGAAGCATACAATTGGGTTGTAATTGCAAATCATAACCGCATCGGTTGGATCAGCACTAGAGATCTTAAAGTATGCACACAAAAGGCCAACTTTTAACAGTACCTCATGTGCCTAAATGTCCGCTTCCTTCGAGCTTCAGTTGCAGAGATCCATTATGATATTGTAACTCCCCGTGTACGGATTACAACTACAATTTGCTTGTTACTTTCTTTAGGTGTTGTGATGTGCAAAGTCGTTTCGAGGAGATACAATAACCACTGGACAGCTCATTTGCATTTGGTTGAGGAAGAGCCTCAGTATTCACTGGTTCAGGACAATGATCGTTATGGCCACAACCTCATCAAAGCTTCACCTTGTCCACCTCTTGTGGTTAGAAACCTGAACGCCGAGAGTATACACCGAGATCCATTCTCACTAGCAGGTTGATACCACAGTTGTAGAGTCCTGAACTGGGCGGGGTTCAAAAACCTACTTGTTGTCACAGTTGTACCAACTTCAATTTGGGCAGGGTGCACAGGGTGATACATATCATCATAACTGTGTATACAACATTCACATATAAAGTTTTTAAATGTTGCTATTGAAACGATTCTAATCATATTCACACTTCCTACAAGGTGGTGTGGGTTGTGCACATTACAAAACAATTGATTAAGAGAGTATTTTATGTAAATATGTGATTTTAGTGTAGTAACTTGTACAAATGAATTAAAATTTTATTTTAATTAAGAGAGTCTTTTATGAAAATATGTGATTTTAGTGTAGTAACTTGTACAAATGAATTAAAATTTTATTTTAGTGAATAGGATATGTATTATGGGTGTGTTGTATTTAAAGAAACAAATTTTACAAATAGGTTGATTTGAAGCACTTGCTAGTTGAACAAGTGAAATTTTGTATACATTTTTGGCACCTTAAACTAGATTTTATAAGGAAGAACTCTCAACATTCGAGATTGCATTGCAAAAGTTGTAGTTAGCCACTTGTGTCAAAACTTTGGAATTAAAAATGTTAGATCTTTTAAAACATGATTATTTTGTATTCTTTGTTCATATTTTTATAAAACATTGTACAATATATTATAGAAGTAACTACTAAAAAAATCCATGATTGTTTTTAATATCAAAGATTTTTTTTTTTTTTTTTTTTTTTTAGTTTTTTATGTTAATATTGTATTAAATGGTATAAATCACTTTTTTATGTTAATTCTTCATAAATTTAGAATATTATCATTTTTCTATTAATAAATAAATAATATTCTTGGATCTTATGTTACTTAATGTTTTGGTTTTTAAACTTCATAATGTATGCATATAAAGATTTTTTATAGTAGAAAAACCTTAAAATATCTTAACAAGACATATTTTACTTTATATGCTTGTTTATATATTTATTTATTTATTTATTTTAAAAAAATATTATTCATTAAAACAAAACTATCTTTTTAATAGTCAAAGTAGTATGTGCATTATATAAGTTATTGCAAGGTATTCTTTTATTGCATTTTTTTTAAGGATATTTTTCAATGGAAATTTTACAATGTATTTAAATGTCAATATATCTTTTTTGTAAAGAAGCCATTAAATTACCTTTTAAAAAAAATTAACCAAAAAAAATAGTTTATTAAGTATTATGGCTAAGTTTTGAAAATAGTATGGCTTGCAATTTGTAGTTGGTATAATTAATGAAATCCACATTTGGATTAAAAAATTATTTAAACAGTAGAATTATTTATATTTTATGAATTTAAATTATTTAATAGAATGCCAAAATATATGAAATATAGAAATAATAGAAATGATAATAATAATCTTCAATATCTATACTATTATACTATGAAGTACAATCAATATAAAGATGTTATATTATTGATGCTTGTATATGCAAGCTATAACTTTGAGCTAATTATTTGATGGGATATTTTTATAAAATATATTCAATTCTTATTTAATTTTCAATTAATAATATTTATAACATCTATAGATGTAGTTTTTTAATGGTGGTCTTTCCAATAGATATTATTTTATGAATGAATTTTTGTTCTAGTGCAAGTTCAAAAAGATAAATATTTGATTTTAAATCTATATTTTAGAATCCAAAAATTAAATTATTAAAATTAAAATTAAAAGTAAGATCTTTATATATATTCTTCTGAAATATGATTATTAGTAGTATCATAATTTTTTTTTATTAATAAAAAAATCTACAAACCAAGCAAAAACATTCACATAGATATTGCAACAAAAAGACATTGTATTATAGATATACATATTTTTTCTAATAATTACTTATATGATTAAGTAGTACGTAAATGTAGATTAATTTCATAATATCTTCTAAAAAAGGTTCTTAGAAGCATCATAGATATAATTTTGACTTTATACGTGTTTGTACTTGATTGATAGGTTAGAAACTTGATTAATAAGTTAACTAGGTACTACATATATTGGTAGCTTATAGAAGAAGCTAATTATGTGGCACACATGTAAAAAACTTGCCTTATAAGTTAAGACATGTATCTTGCAAAGTCAACATGTATTAGAGGTCTTATAGAATATTGTCATATAATTTTTAGTTAGATAGTATATATGGAAGTAAGAATGAAACCTTCTTTACTCTTATGAATAAGGTTTGAAACCTAGAGTCTAGCAAGAGGTAAAGCTAAAGGATCCACAAACATTCAAAGAGGCAATTTGGATTGCAGAGAGGATTGATGTTATAGAAATCAGAAATCATAAAGTGCAACCTATAGCACGAAGTCCTATACTACTATCTAATATTACGGCACAACAATCAATGCCAATAGAAATTGATGCCTTATAAAAAATCATTGATATTACAAAGACAATAAATATTGGTCCAAAAAGGATTGTATTTCTATTGTAAAGAGTTAGGCCATCAGATCAGAGGTTGTTCAAAACGTCAAAGTACAAGTACCGGCAAGACAAGGTGGATTCACAGTCTCAAAACTCACAAAGCCGATAATAAGTCAAAGTAGCAAAATAGGGCTCCTCTATAAAGGCATTAGAAGCCAATACTGGAAGTAGCTACTGTCTCTCAAAGACAAATGGTATAGCTTTGGACAAATATAAAAAGAGTTAATTGATGCATCTAACGAGACTACTAAGAAGACAATCATATCAGGTGCTTGTAGATTATGGCTCTACAAAAAATTGCATCGCAATTGAAATCATTGACCAACTTAGAATTAAAATCAAGGAAATAAAGAGAGGAGGTATATATCTTGTACATGACTGAGAAAATGTATTGAATGAGACATGTGAAGAAAAAACCTTGAGATTGATAGATACTTACATCTTAAGAGAGAGATTCAAGGTAACAAAGCTAAGATATGATGTTATCTTTGGTATGCAATGGCTAAAGATAAAAAATAAGAAAGTTGATTAGATAGTAAAGAAAATCTCTTTTAAAGATGGAGGACACTAGGTGATTCTTTATACCTTTAGATCAAGTGAAGAAGAAAGAGAGCTTGCAACCAAAGACTTACTTGTAGAGACAATCTTTATGAAAAAGAAACTACAGCATGAGCAACGGATATATATGGTGGTTCCAAACCTCGTGTTAGTGGTAGGAAAGATAGCCAAAGGGATAGAATGGTGTCGTGTTGTAACACGTCTATATGGTGAAAATATAAATAAAAAAGATTTATTAATATTTAGTCATCTTGGATGTTAAAAATAGTGGCCAATTCCAGTGCCAATATTCAGGGGCCAATTAATGTCACCCCATTGCAAGCTGTACCACCAAACGTGACAACAGTGTATGCTCCACCGACATCATCAAACCAAGTACCCTCCGTACCAACAAGATGACCAATATCATTTTCTAACCCTACATGGAACAAGCCTAGTAGGTATATACTGGTGAAGACATCCAATATGCCAGATGGGGGTGCAAGAAGACCACTTCGTTGTTTCCATTGCTGACAGATTGGTCATTATTCTAGTAAATGTCCCAATCCCAGAGCCAGTGACAATGATGTGCTAGTGTATAGGAATAGTAAATAGTCGGGGCATACTTATCAGCAATATAATGCTTCGTTCAATTTTAATAATCCGGATCAACAAATCCAAAGCCAAGGAAAAATTGAAGGAATAAATTGAGGTCTTCAAGATTTTTTAGTAAATCGGGTGGAATGTGTCTAAGCCATTCTTACCAGGAGTTGGCAAAAGGGGAAAGGACCAATTCAATATTTTGGTGAGTCTAATGTGAAGGACCAATTTGACCCAATTATGGGGACATCCAATCCAGGTCTTGTTACGGGCCTCTTATCCAGTATGAGACCTGACTCGGTTGGGCAACTCAATAAGGTCTCGAATACAGAGGCTTCAATTTCATTTCAAGCTATTCCGTTCTCTATGCCATTTCGGAAGAGAAACATCCTTTTTGTGGAAAGATCCTCTTAGAAGCGAGAATTCTATGGAAGCGCGGTCTGTTGTTCCAATTCCGAGTCAAGGGCGGAAGAATAGGGGATCTCACGGAGTTAAAGGAAAAGAAAGAAAAAAGAAGAGGACATTCGGGAGATCGGGGATTTTGGAGTCGGAGAGCTAGCTTCAAAAGATATAGAATTGAGGTTCATAGGATTTAAAAGAACTTTGCAATCGTTGCTGAAAGTTCGTGTTTGTATTGGTGAATTAGGTTCATAGGATTTGGAAGGACTTACAATCGTTGCTGAAAGTCTGTGTTTGTATTGGTGAATTGGGTTCATAGGGTTTGGAAGGACTTGCAATCATTGCTGAAAGTCCGTGTTTGTATTGGTGAATTGGATTTTTGCAATAAAGTAACGACTAGTACTCTTGATTGTTTTGTAAAATTGGAGAGACATCTATGGTTGAAATTTTAGAGGTGTCTAGATGATTGAGTATGCTAAGTGTATGCAATTTTTTTTATTAATCTAATGGTACGGATAGAGGATATTTGATCATTAGTATAAAGAGGCATCAAAAGTCAGCATATTAGGGTTGTTTAGGATTTTTGTAATATCTGGAGATCTATTAGCTGAAATAAGGTGAATTTTAACATGATAAGTCGAGGACTTAAAGGCAGAGCTG